CCTGTTCTGCTCCCCACTCTGTCTCTGGTGAAGCCTCTCATTTCCCCTGCACCTCTGGCCTGTACCCCAGTTCTGTATACACAAATAATATTTTTAAAAGAAAATCTTTTATCTGTGGGGTAAAAAGCAAGACAAATTCACAAGGATGGGTAGCCCTCTGGTACTCACTTAGCTACACATAGGAGCCCCTGAGAAAATGATCCATTCAAATAATAATCTCTTAAAATTATATTTGACTATTATATACCCAATGTGGCTTGTATGGAATTTAATTTCCATCTAAATTTAAAATACAAGAGACATCCAAGGCCATTATTTCATTTGGAGTTGAATGAAGTAACTTCATTTGGAAGGACAGCTTAATTTTTTAAAATCGTGCTATAACAAAAAGAGATTTAGTCAGCCTGTTTCTACTTTGAAAATACACAAGAGCAGCCGGGGATGCTTAAATGTAAAGTGTTATATTTATATATATATATATATATATATATATATATATATAAAGAGCAAATTAAGTAGTCGGATGTATTTGCTACATTAAAGCACAATGAAACTACTGTGATTAGAGCAGTTTGAGAAAAATGGATGTAAAATACTTTCTGTCGAAATTATAGCAACAGCTACAATTAAGAAGAGCACTTTGTGACTCACTGGGTAGCTGGGAGACTGTTTTTTCTGTGTGGTCTGGTGTTTTCTGTTTTCAGCCTCCATGCAGGTCTGAGCACTGCTCCCCGGCAGCCCACTCCTCCTTCCTGGGAAGCAGGTCTCAGCCCGGCTCCTCAAAAAGCCCAAGCTGACGAGGCACTGGGATCTGATCTAATCCGGTCTGGGCGCCCAAAGCAAACCAGACATGGGAAAGGAAGCGAGTTTCCGAAGGGGAAGGGCAGCCTGCCTGATCTTTGTTAGCAGGTACAAAAGGCAGTGTTGGCTTCTTTGAAGCACAGAAAATGCAATAATTTTTTTTCTCTCTAATTAGTTTTTAAAATACAAATAACACTTTCTCAGAACATTACAAAACAGATCAAGCATATAACCCAGCAAACTCTCCCCAGCTAGCTAGCCAAAGAATACAGAAACACTGGCTCAAAGGGATGGACGCCCTCCTGTGTCTGCTGCGTCACTGTTACCATGGCCGGGGCATGAAAACAAGCCGAGTGCCAAAGACAGAGTGTGTACACGATGGAATACTACACAGTGGTTAAAAAGCTAACAGATGGACTCTTGCCATTTGCGACTGTGTCAGGACTGGCAGGGATCGTGCTAAGTGAAATAAGTCAGAAGGAAAAAGACAGAGTCTGATGGTTTTGCTCCTGTGGACGATAAAACACAGAGCCAAGGAACAGACAAAACAAAACAAACCCTGAAATCCACCTGTAGCGCTGATACTCTGGGAGGAGGGAGTGGAGACTGTGGGCTTTAGTTTCAGATTAATGGGACTGTGGTGGTGGTGGGAACAGCATAACATGTATTCGTAGCGATGTGATACTGTACCCTTAGAACATAGATTATACAATGTTGTAAACCAAATATCCAAATGTTACCTAAATAAACATACCTTTAAAATAATAATGATAAAATAAAGACATCTTTTTCTTTTTTGCAAAAACCAAGATGAAAATACTAAAGTACCTATCCTGGAACCTTCCTGGTGGTGCAGGGGTTAGTCTCAGCACTAGCAAGCAACAGTTAGATCCCAACCAGGGAGCTGACCCACATGGCACAACCGGATCTCTCATGCTTCTCCCTGTGCCCCCAGAAGTGTCTTTCAATGGATCTGCCTGTTCTGCTCCCAACTCCATCTCTGGTGAATCCTCTCAAACTACCCCCACCCCCACCTCTGACCTGTACTCCAGTTCGTATATACATAAATAAGAATAAATTTTTTTTAATAATTTTAAAATACCTACACAGTAAATTAAATCCAGCTGGCAGCCCCATGCAGATGCTTGTGTTCTCAAAGAGATCTCTCTGAATTTTTTAGTCAGACACAAGGAAAGCGCAGCTGACAACTCTGCTGCAGAGCCAATGCCCCGGCGCGCCCCCTTTACTCTGCTGACCATGGTGTGGGTGACACACATTTAACCCCAGAACATTTGAGGACGTGGTAGACTGAGCAGTAAGAATGAGTCAAACGCTTCCTCTGAGCTAGAAATGAGCCCTGTGCACCATCCACCTCACATCCACCTCACCATCCACCTCACCATCTACCTCACATCCACCTCACATCCACCT